CAGCAGCGACAATCCTCCTCTACCACAGGTCCTGCTCGCAAATACCGTAATCAAACAATATTCACATATCATACTATAAAAATTTTACGTTATAGTGTATACATGTATATATTAACCCATGGACAGAAAGCAAGGCGCAAAACCGTTCCTCCGGGCCTGGCAGGAGGACGCTTTCCTCAGCCGCGTGGTGGGCAGCATGGGCTCCAACCTCTCTTACGAGCGTGCGCGGGAGCGAAGGGTCAGTTTAGGGTTTGGGGTTTAGGGATTTCCCTGAGCGGTGTTGGTTTTTCGTGCATTTATCCGTTGAGGTTCCGATGACGTTTCGGCATTGGCACCAGTCAGCCCACGGGGCCCCGGCACATGTCGAAGAATTCGTCATCAGAGCGGAGTTGTGGATTCTGGCTATGCCTTGGGGCTTTTCGTTTATGAGGATGTGCGTGAAAGCAACAGAAAGCAAGAAGGGAGTCGACTGAGAGCCGAGCAGACTTTGGGTCTTGAGAGCAGGAGCTACGAATGCTTGCGGTGCCGGACTTGAAAATCGCGCCTTGGATCGGAAAGCCTTGTCAGGTTTCTGTCATTGGTCCGGCTACATACGCTGCTGACTGCCATTGCTGCTATTGTGTACTTCCGAAACCGGGGAGCATGACTGCCGGAGACTCTCGTTTGGCGAAGCCAGGTGATTGAGGAGTTTCTGGAGGACTTCGGTGAACAGTCCGTCGTTTCGCGCAAGAGAAGGAAGATTGCGTGAGGAAGCGGAGCAAAAAGATGATGTCCACATCCGTTTCTTCAGGAAAACAGGGTTCAAGCTACGGTTGGGTGCAGCAGTCAAGACGAAGCATCGTCTGGGTGCGTTGCCTCAAGGTGCGGTCTTTGCTGTCACCGTCAATTCAAAGGTTGGTGTAATTTCGTCCGAGTTTCACGAAAGAGGCTTCTGGGCTTGGAAGCTACCGCAGGTACTGGAACAATCGCCTGTTTGGGCTACCACGCTGCCCCGTGCGGCGCCGCGGGAGTTTCATGCCTTAGCCCTGGGGTCTGCAGAGATCTGCAGAGTCTTTTGGATATATGATATGATGTTATATTCTACTATCTTGTATTATCTTCTGTTATCTGATATTATCTTATACCGTCTCATACCATCATATGTTAACTTCGTATCATCTTGTATCATCTTATATGGTCCTAGATGACCTTATGGCTTTTATCTTGTATGACCTCGTATTATCTTATATTACCTTACATGATCTTCTATGGTGTTATCTTATATGATCTTATGCTGGCTTATATTTCCGTATCTTATCTTATCTGATCGTTTATGATCTTGTACTATGTATTTTGATTCTGTTCTGTTATAGTCTTCTGCTTTCTCTATTATGCTATATTTTATCATATTCTATTCTATCCTGTTATATTCTATCATTTCATAATGTACTATGCTGTATCATATTAAATACGATTCTGTTGTATTACATTATATATTGAATTTTATTGTGTTATGTTACATGATATTTTACTATAGTATAACATACTATCAGGCTATCTTCTATAGTACTATTTTTTTAGAAATTTAGAATATATTTCTGTATATACCAGCTTTTGTTGTAGTGTGTTATGTTATATTATAGTATAACATGTGATAATATGTTATGTTATGCTATGCCATGCTATGTTATGTTATGTTATGTTATGTTATGTTATGTTATGTTTTTCATATTGTATTATATGGTTTTGTATTATCTTATCTTCTCTTATACTATATTACTAGCTTACCCTAACCCTAAACCCGAATCTTGCTATAAGAGTGAACGAGAGAAGGAACCCGACTCGAGTCAAGAAAGGCTTCTGAAACAGCAGAGCCCTATCTTTAGACAACAGACAGGTTTGTTCAGGGTGTAAGAGTCTAATGGGGACCCTCCTGTAGTCTGACTCCGGATGCTGTGTTTTCCGACCCTGGCCTCCTTATGTTCGTCTTCTGGGTCTGTCACATTCGACTCCATTTCCGGACTCGGCACAGAACCTTTGGGGGTATCCCAAGTGTTTGGTGACGGCTTTCAGCAGGCTACAAAATGCGAGCCACGTAAAATCTGTGTCGGCTCCGACAATGTGCATTTTCCGGATTGGCATGAGGCTGTCAGGCCACCTCTGTTCCCCCAGGTCGACGTTTGGCCAAGCGAAGGCGACTTGGAGCCGTCAGGGCTCTCAGCATTCTGGGGTTCTGCAAGGACATTGCCTGAAACTCAGCGGCCTTAAGGTTGGCTTTCAAAACCCTGAGCCCTAAACCCCTCGACCCTTCTAAGGTACGCCATCACTGTGGGGTCGTACGAGTACCAGCTGACTGGACCTCGAAGTCAGGCCGCTCCGATGTGAGATCGGACTATACGTGCTATACTATACCATACTGTGCCCTGCGACAACAAAGATATCTTTCATAACATCATACCATATCACACACATGTCATATGAGCATCGTCTTAACTTCAACTTAGTATTAATTTCGTCGTGCTATCATGTGAGTGTCATCTGTACGTGTGGGGGGCGAAGCTCTGAGAAAGCCAAGCCGCTCTCAGCCTCTCCGGGGCTTCGAAGGTCTTTGCTGTGAATGGCACTGCCGGTTTGGTTTCCGACTCAGCCCCGGTCTTCAGGCTTTTAGGGAGTTGGGGGGGTGAGGGAATTAAGGGTTTTTGGGGTTTAGGGGGTTTAGGGTTTGAGGGGTTGTAGGGTTTGGGGTGATTAGGGTTTAGGGTTTGAGTTTGGTTCCATGATCTCGTACGGTCTCGCCGCCGCCTTTCTAGGCCCATTTTGGGTGAGCGTTCACGTGACAAAACCTTTCGAGGTTCTGAGTCACGTGAGGGGCCTTCGCATCCGTGTGGAGAGCAACTGGGGCGAGGCGCCGCGCTGCAACAAGTGCATGGGATCCAGAGAAATCCGGTTGCCGCTTCAGTCATGTCTGGTTCTGCTTTCCGTTTCCGGAAGACACAAGCCTTCAAGCCTGCCATGTTATGGAGTCATCTGCACTTCTTACGTCTGCCTACCACAATGCTGCCACAGCGTTGAACGAAGCCGCAGTTGTAGGTGAGAGTTTATGCCTTTGGGGTTTCGCAGGGTTGGTTTTCGATGCACTGGTCATGAGGTTCTAGATGGTGGGTTCTGCTGCCGGGGGGCGTTAGGCTGTAGCTTGTTGGGGACAGCTGATACTTGTAGTGGATTCCTTGGCTTCCGAGCATGCGGATCGTCACGGTAAGAAACAGCTTCAGAGCGGAGTGATGTGTTTCCCTCCTGGCAGGACCATACGCTGCTCTGCCGTGTGCGAGTCTTTGGAGCTCCATGACGAGTCAGAGTGATATCGGAACACGTCTCGCGAGCGCCATCTTCTGTGTTTGGCAGGGAATTGCCAGATTCTCGGCAGTCGTTGTAAACATTTCATGAGTGCCCCAGCCTCGGGCGGTTGTTCTAAGTTAGGACTCTGGATAGGGCACGCGCCCTTAAAGGCGACCCCTTTATCATAGAACCCTAGAGTACCCTCAAAGGGGGCCCAACTATAGAACCCTATGGTGCCCTTCACGGGCTTGATTCGATTTCAACAGGTCGGCCAGGCTGTCGCCAAAAATTTAGGGAGAGCTGTTGAAGTCCAATCCGTTTTCTAAGGCTTGAGAAATCGGCCTGTAAGACTGGCCGGCTTTTTCTTTGCATGTATGGCCGGCATTTTTCCATCGTGATTCGGTGTCCTGGTTTGCACTGGACTGTGTCCGTCTCATTTTTATATCTGGTATATCCTTGCTAGCGCGGTCAGAATGTTGAAGCTGCATGCTACCAGCTACCAGAGCTGTGACCTCCCATGCAGGGCACATGAGCGTATTCGCCCCCCCCAAAAAACACAAAACTCTCTACACTGCACTATACGCCGCCAGATCGCATGAGGCATTGCCGCGGTCTGTGCCCGGAATTCAATGTGCAGCGGCGGAAGGGTGACGATCCACGATGAGCGCCGGCCGTGGTAGAAAGATGCGCTTGTTGAGGATGTCTGAGGCATATCCCGAGCTTTGTTTTTTTGTTGCTTAGCAGTACAGGGGTAGAACAGGTCTGCGACAGGGGGAGGGATCGGAGCTCGGAGCCTTGAGCTGGCTCTTTGTGCGACTTCTGGCCGTCGGCTCCCGGCAGCATATCGGCATTCCTGGTAAGATAGCTCCCTCACTGGCGAAACTCCTGCAGCTTCAACCGTCGGTAACCTTGTTCATCTGCGCAATCTTGCGCCACACCTAACTTTCGAGTGGTACCGAATCCTCAGAACTCAAGCCATAGAGCCTCCAACCCTGCAAGCCCAACAGCCTTTGAACACAGAACCTGGCCACGTGAACTTGCGACACCGAGAGCCATGAGCTTCTTGTGCAAACGGAGCAAAGAGGCTGAGTTCGAGCTGAAGGCCGCGAGAACTCAGATCAGCACAGGTACTGGTAGAAGTGGAGCTAGTCGAGGCAGGAAGAGTGGTAGCAGCATGAGCATCATCTGTGATACCTGGTGCTGATGAGGCTAGGGGGGATCGCCATCTTAGCTGTTGCCGCCGTCGCCAGCATCGTCGTCGTCTTCGTGGTCCTCGTCGCAGTCACAGTCGCAGTGGTGCTCACAGTCGTAGTTGACAGAGTCATCGTAGCAGCCTTAGGAGTAGTGAGTAGTGGTGATGTTCATCGAGACGAAGAGGATGATGAATGACAGGAGAAGTAATGGAAAAGATGCATATGTTCGGTTTTCACTCATGACTCATGATGCAAGACATGGTCGTGATTGGGGATCATTGTCGCAGAGGGGGTATCGACCATAGTAGCCATCATCACTGGAAATATAATCACCTACAGTGATCGTAATCGCCAACATGATCAGATGTACAATGATGGTGACCATGAGAAGGATAAATAGCTGTCACAGAATTGCTGATCATCTTTGTTGCCAGTAGGTGATACGAGTTCGGTCGTTTTGGAGCACTCGGGTATGATCGAGACTGTGCCCAGATACAGCAGCTGGAGAGTGATACGGCACCTCGGCTGCACATGCCGGGCAGCCGCCACACAAGCTTGCACGGTTCATTAGTGTAAGTATTCACGCGTTTTCTTGCTGTTGTGACGTACAAAATGTAAGAAGTGACATGTGCTGGGAGTTCGTGCCGTGTGAGCTGTCACGGCACGAGCTCCACATTGTCTCTGCCTGTGGCTTCGATTATCACGAAGTGTACTACGAGCTGCTCGAAGGAGTTCGCCATGATGAGAAGCATCGACTTGTTAAGACATGTAGTTTCCAGTCTGGTCTCCCCTTGTGGTGTCTCGGTTGGAGCGATGCATGTGCCTTACAACAGCTTCAAAGCTAGCAGCTTGATGCAGAGAACATGCAGATCCCAGGTCCTTGCTTTGCCTGCGCATCCGAGGCAGCTTTGCGCGAGGACTTGACAAATCTCTTCTCCAGGCAAGCGGCCTTTCGCTCGCAGGTGCAGTCCAGGATTTCTTCCCCAAACCAAAACTCTAATCGTTAAGGCCGAGATGCTATACTATGTTATAGTCCTAAGCCCTCCCTTAAAGCCTCAGTATCGTCTTAAGATTTCCCCGAAGACCTAAGTGCAGTCTTAAGCTTTCCCTTAAATCCCTGAACCCTAAACCATAAAGCCCGAAGCCGCAGGCTGGCCAAGGCATGTGCTTCCATCGACGAGAAGAATTCCCAGGATCGAAGCCGGGTTTGGGTTTAGGGTTTAAGGCTTAGGGTTTAGGGGTATAGGGTTTAGGGGTATAGGGTTTAGGGGTTTGGGTTTAGGGTATAGGAATTTTAGGGAGTTTCGGAGACAAGTCTAGGCTACTGTAGCATAGGCGCCTCAATTACCACAAACGCTATACTATTTTGGGGTTCCTTGTTCTAATTATATGCAGTAGAAGATCATAAATAATTACCAATACTATTTATGAATTTCTTACTATAATTATCGTGGAATGTACACCAAAATCTTGTTGTAACTGATAAGGCCCCGATATCCGACCCAGGTTTACAAGTTGAGAGACCGTTGTGCATCAAATAAATGAAGTCGTATGCATGTTGAGACTTCATCTTTGCCTTGCAGGGAGATTGGGTGGCTACACTAGGTTTTAGGGCATTTTGGTGCGAGGGGTTTGAGGTGCAGGGTCTAGGTGGACAGCTTGTGGCTCCAACAGTGGTGAGTCGCGCCGCGAATGCAATATGTGCAAGGTACATGTACAATCATATGTAGAATGCACGATCATTATCTAGCACGACAGTTGTCAGGCGATGGACCTCATGTTCGTCCAGGCGACCACCGAGACGCTGGAAGACTTGACAGGCGAAGTTCGGGGAACCACGTTGCATGCTCAGATATATGGCACCCAGAGATGTCATTCCATAGCTAGCACCACCTGACTGTTTTTGTTAGTTCTTTATTGCTTGTCCGCGATTGAGGATCGCATCGTTCCAATACCAGAGGGCAGCTAATCGCAAATATCCAGGTCGTACTGCTTAGCAAATATCCAGGTCGTATTGCTTAGCAATACTATCCCTTATCGTCGCTCTATAGCTTTACTGCAGTTTGACCGATATTGTAGTCTAGTTACCCAAGCCCCTATACTATAAACCCTAGATTAGGCGTACATCCTCATTATGTAGAAGTCGTTAAGGATCTATACACTGACATGAGTTTCTGTACTAAAGGCTGGGACAATACATTAGAATGGGCTACTCCCCACACAGACATCAGACAGGGTTGCCCACTCAGCCCCTAGTTATTCATCATGATCATGACGGTGCTATTTGCCGACGTGGAAACCAGTCTACTCCGCCAGGGCGTGCCCACCAATACTTGGTCAGTTGGCAAACCGATTTTTGATATAGAATACGCTGACGACACCCTACTTCTGGGCCTTACGCACAGCCAACTAGAGTCTTTTCTTCACGTGGTCCAGCAAGAGGCAACCTTGTACGGCATGGAACTTAACTTCACTAAAACAGAGCTACTCCGCCACCCCTCTTCGGAAACACAAACAATAAAGTTTTCAGATGGCACCAGTGCCCCTCTAAAGGATACGGTAAAATATTTAGGTTCTTCGGTTACGTGGTTCAAACCCGCCAAGGAAGCCATTCAAGCCAGACTACTCCTCGCAGCTCAGCCTATAGCAAGCTCCAACATATGTGGCGTAGCAGAGCCACAAATAAATTGAAAGTCTACATCTTCATGACCTGTATTGTCCCAACCATTACGTACGGCCTTGCTCAAACCACCCTAGAAAAGCACCACTACCGTACAATAGATGGATGGTTTTTCAGATTCTTTAGAAGAGCCGTAGGAATCAAGGCCTCATACTACTCCCATATTTTCAACGAACAGGTCTGGAACACAACAGGTAGAGCACTCCTCCCAAGCCAAGTACTCCTTAAAGAACAGCTCAAGCTATTGGTCCAAGCCATCACTACAGACCCCAACGATCCTCTACATCATGTAGTTTTCAGCCCCGGCCTCAAAGACAGAGTTCACTGCACTAAGTCGGCTAGACGTGGACACCCAGCCAGATACTGGTACGAGTTGGTTGTAGATCATGCAAACAGGCTACTCCGCCGTCATCTAGCAGACCCCAACACACCCATAACCTCGCCGTTCCCCCAACATTCCCACGGAGTTAAAAGAGCCTTAGAACACTCCGCAAACTTTGCAAAGTACCTGGTGACTGCGCCTACGCGCTTTCCTCAAGTCTTTTCCATGTACAGTCAGAGTATCGGCGGCGCATGGCAGACCTAAAAAAATACTATAAACCCTATGAAGGCCTTCTAGACATCCTGATGGAAACCCTTGAAGGAGCCCTATTCCAATCATTCAGGCCCCGATGCCTACATGGCAACCCGCAGGCCGTCTGGAGCAGTTGGAATTGGCCCGGGAGGAGAGCGTCGGGCGCCAGAACCAGGCGAAAAGCATGAGTTTATCTGCAACATTATATGAGGACTGGGGTTGAGGATTAGGGCTTTTCTACTGTATAGGGATCAAGGTTTCGGGGGTGTTTAGGTCCCAGGTACAGCTAATGTAAACTGACATACGCTACATGTAGTTTTGTCTACCATGGCGTAATGCAAAAGGTTTGTGTTGTGTAATGTTTCCCTATATGAATTCATGTACATATGCACATGCACACATATGGCACTATGTTATAAGATATTGCAACCTAGTACATATCATGTAGTATCTTGTACCTAGTACATAGCATACAGTACATGCGTTTTACAGCCAAGTACATTGCATATTGTGTGGTATGTCGTACAGAGCATGTAATCTCATAGTATGTAGTATATAGTAAGCAGTTACATCGTGGATAGTAAACCGTACATGGTACATAGCATGTAGTATATAGGCGAAGCATTTGTTGTGTTTGTTCACTAGCTATCTTAACATCTAGGAAATGGTATAGGCTATATAAAGTCTAGTGGATGACTACAGAATGTACGGTATATGGCAAATGATGACGCAACATGTGGAAACGTGCCTATAGCATTCAGCAAAACAAGCATAGAGCATACGGCATAAATTCCATATCGTATACATTTTTTGCGTATAGAGTATAGTGTGTATAATGAAACATAGTGTGCTATATTGACTTACAGAATCTTCTACACCACAAAATTCTGCGACTGGGCAAGTAAGTAACTCAACGACGCAACGAGCATATTTAATTTACATCCGCTGTCAAGTTTAATGGCCACAAAGGAATGATGACAGTATTTTCACAGATTGATCTTCCGGGCAAGCCGAAAGACCTACCACAGTCAACTCCTGCGCGCTGGGGAGGTTCTCAAGTCCTTTGGACGGGATTTGCAGAACCTGGCGTCCAGGAGCGGTGCTCCTGTTGCAGGCTTTGCAGGAGGTTCTGTCAAGGTTTCAACGGAGGATTCTGTATCTGATGATGACAATGACAATGTTGAGAACAAGAAGCCACAGCGATCCCCGTTCAGAAAAGCCCCATTAACTTGACGACTTGCGATTTACATGATGCTGGAACTCTGCCTGGAAAGCTCAGCCAACTCGGGAAAGGAGCTAGTTGAGTGCATCATAAGAATACCTGTATGTGTCATATAAAGCGTTGCAGCAGACGCTTGCAGGTGGTCGCGCCGTCTAGTGTAGTTACACAGACTCACACACACACCAGAATAAACTGCAGCGTTTTACAGTGCGCTAATGAAATGATTGCTTTTCAGTATTGCTGCTGTCATTGCTACTGTCCCGTTTCTGATAGATATACGATGGCTGTTTTATCACGCGTGTTAACTACCTACTTGATATTCTCACTGCCTCGACCCTGGGCTGTATTGAAACCAGAACTAGTACTTGTGACTAGCTGCCATCATCATTGCTATCGTTTTTTATTATTCTTACTCTTATGGTTGTGCTGGTGGTGGTTGTTGTTGTTGTTGTGGTCGTCGTCGCCATCGTTCCATGTCCGCAGGCTGGACGGCCATGACACTCGCAGTACCGCCAGCAAGGTTGGGATGCTTGTGCATGGTACTGCTACTAGCTGCTACTACTGCCACTGCCACCACTACTACCACTATTCCCACTGCTGCCACTGCTACCACTGCACCACTGCGAACACCGCTACCACTGCGCCACTTTTGCTGTCTCTGCCTTCTACCACCACCGCCACCACTACTATGAGCCCCACACACACCACCAGTACTACTGCTTTTATTACTACTGGTACTCCTCCTGCTGCTGCTACTACTGCTGCTGCAACAACAACTGCCACCACCACCACCGCCGCCGCCACCACCGCCACCACCGCCACCACCGCCACCACCGCCGCCACCACCACCACCACCACCACCACCACCTCATCCTACTGCTGTTGCTACTGCTACGGCTACGACTACGGCTACTGCTACGGTTACTGCTACGATCGTGCTAGTACAGTAGGAGGACTGGTGCCGGTACATGTCTGAAACAGGATGATGCTGCATCGAAGCAGGTTCTTCAGACAAGCCCACGGCTTCAAGCAGCCAGCCACTTCGTCAGGTCACCGCTGACAAGCTGAAATCCTCCCACGAGGCGCAGCTTCATGGATTAGTTCAGGGTTCAGCACGTTTGAGTCATCCATCTGGTAGACTGTTGAAGACAACGACCACCCAGGATTTCGATCCGACGTTTAGCATGTCAATGCTCAGACAGAGATGGCGAATCTGCGTGGCCCGCTGTTTGCCCTCACTATTGCTTTGACCGTGGCGGGACCTTTTCGAACTGCCCTGGACCCTGAGTTCCTGAACCCCGAGCCGCGAACCCAAGCTCCATGTTGGGCTTCAGGGTTAAGAATCTACTTTTTCGGGTTGGGGTTTAGGGCGTTTAGGGTTTAAGGTTCTACACATGATCTTCGAAGCTCCCGTGCAGTCAGGTGCTCCGCGGAGAGGTTGAGCACCGCTTTGAAACGCTGGGTCAGCTTCTGGAGGTCGCATTTCCGGGTTCAGGGATGTTCTATGAGGCTTGTATACGTGGTCTTAGAAGGGTTGGATAAGGGCCCCTTTTTAGGTCTTGCAGGGTTCAGAGGTTGCAGGTGTAAGATTCAAGTTGTAAAAGTGGGTGGGCTTCAGAGCGCAGGGTTGTGGGACGTAAGGACAAAGAAGACACCGCGAATGCAAGGCTAGTTTGGAAACTTAGGGATTTAAATTTAGATATTTTGGAGTGAGTCACTTTATAAGAGTTTAGGAGTTTAGGGTAGGAACTTCAGAATCCTTGTTTAGGATCCTGGCATTCAATCCGACAACAAAAGGGTGCACGGTTTGCTGAGCACAAGGCTTACCTGCAGTCAGCGCAATAGACTACGACAATTGAGCATGCGCCACAAAGTTTGCTGTGCATGAAATGCTCCTTAGAAATCAGAAGCACCCAGCATCTTTACATCATCAATAGGTCCAAGTCAAGAACATTGCACATTGGCTCGCTGGCAACCGTAAGCCCTGCACCCCAAGCCCCAGCTTCTGTCGGCTCAGGGGTGAGGAAGTAGCCGGGCTAGACCCAAGGCACTTTGAAGGGTGAGCCTTGGGGTATGAGGAGGGTTGAGTTTCGCATGAGGGTATCGGATACTCCGAAGCCCATCTTCCCTTCACCGAGAGTCGCTAGATTTGAATTCCCACCGCATAGTCTCGATCTCTCGAGGTACTTTTTAGTCCGACCCTGGGCAATCGTGCCTTCTCCTTCTGCCGGGATCCAACAAAGCCCCTGCAGAGCCCCAGTCCACAAAGAGTTCCAGAACCGGAGGACACACGTGCCGTTGCTGATGCTGCCAGGCTGTCGCAGCAGGCTTCCGCAGAGCAGGTCTTCGAGTGTCGGGGTACGTGAGGCCTAAGGCCCAAGTAGAGTCGGAAAGTCCTCAATCGCCTCTTGGCGGCCACGATGCTTGTGTGCCGTTATATTGTATTACACCGTCGTGTATTTTATAATATATATATATATATTGTATCATATTTTATATTATGAGTTATATGACATATGACTAATAAAATATGATAACATGGACGTGCCCGAAAGGCAGAGGCCGACCGCTGCACCGAGGAGCTGGGCGAACTGTCGCCCGGCTGCACCTCTTTCCGGGGATTTCCTACGCACATGTCGTTCGGGCCTCAAGCTTCTGAAATCTGAGCCATTTGTGGCAGGCAGCACGCGGCCAAGGCACAGGCAGCGCAGCAGGAGGACAAGCTCCGTCGGACTTCTGTTGCTCGGTAGCTCTTGGGATCTTTCGACTGCACAAAGCTGGACTCCAGGGACTGTTTAGGAAAACATTGCCGAGGCTTCGCATGCAATTGCAGTATCACGCTGTGAAAGAGCCAGGAGCTGCAAAGCTGGCACACGACCTTGTCGCAGCAGCTATTAGAGTGATTGCCTCGGCTGGTGCTGCAGTCGGCTGCCGTTGTAGCACTTCTGTTTGCATGCGACGGCATGGAACCCAGGATGATGCCTGCGGTGGCTGATCTCGGCACAACTCGTGCATGCATGGTTTCATGGGCATACAAAACGTACTCAATATATATATATATAATATATATACATATAGATATCATATAATACATAACATGGTATAGCACCATATAACATAATAGAACATATACAATATAATAATAGAATACTAGACAATAAAATAGTGTAATATCTTGTAATGTTATAGGATCCTATCTTATCATTTTGCTTTATTGCTTGTTGTTATGTAACATTAAGTTAAATGCATTATTTTGAGTTCAAACAAAGTATATTAAATCTAACATGCTATATATTGCTATAGAATATAACATTAGATGTTATATTATACTATATTACATTGTGTTTCATTGCATTATGTTTTAGCATATTGTGTTACATTCTGTTATATTACATTATGTTGTATTGTATGGTACTACACTATATGGTAGAATGATATACTTATGTACTTATGTTGTGTTCTATTATATTCGATTATTTCTATTATATTCGATTATTATATCATATTACATTATGTTAAGTTATCGTGCATTGTAGAATGTTGTATTTGTTTACTTGGTTACATTATCTGATATCATATTGCATTAGATTACACCATATCATGTTCTATTACTGTCTATTATTTGAAACATATTATGCTGCTTTCCAATATTAGACTATGTATGATATACTAAAATCATGTAATATTATGTAATATCATATAATATATCGTGTATATTAGTAGTATACATATATGTACTATAATATATAGTATATATATATATACAAACAGATAGATAGGTGTATACATATATACATATATGAAAGTTTATGCGTATATATATATATACACACATGTATGTGTATATATACCTATATATATATACACATGTATATGTATGTATGTATGTATGTATGTATGTATGTATGTATGTATGTATGTGTGTATGTACGTATGTTTGTCTTTATATTTGTCTGTTTGTCTGTTTGTCTGTCTGTCTGTTTGTTTGTTTGTATTTTTATTTGTATTTGTATGCATGTATGTGTGCTTGCATACGTACATCCATCCATCCGTCCGTCCGTCCGTCCGTGCGTCCGTCCGTCCGTCCGTCCGTCCGTCCGTCCATCTGTAGCCATATCCATACCCATACCCATATCCATATCCATGCCCATACTCGTACCCATGCCAATATCCCTATCCATTTCCGTCCATCCCTTCATTCATCCATTTGCACATACAGAGGTGCATAAGTGCAAAAACAGACAAATGCATGCATGTATGCATTCAGCCCGGCATGCGTACATGCATGCGCATACATAGAAGTGCTGCATAGAGATGTTGCGTCATAGGTAAATGATAAGTTTCATGGCGAACTGTAACAGCGCAGAATGCTCCTCTTTCTGCGGCCGTATCTCAAGTTGGGCCAAAGACGTCCGAAGATAGTTGACTCATCAAGCAACTGGAAGAGCTCATAGTGCGCGTTGAACGATGGCCTTGCGCAATGCTCAAAGAAACATCTCATGTGAAGGGTCAAGCTAGCTTAAGACAGGTTCGGTCCATTGAGACGTGCGCCAACCATCATGCCTGAACAGTGCTGCTTAATGCGGCTTGCCGGGTTGACAGCCAGTAGTTCTTTCGTTTGGAAGTCAATCTCAGATCGAGTAAGACGCTTGCAGCGAAGATGGGCAAAGGTAAGGGCAAGGGAAAGGGCAAGAAGGAGCGTGCTGACAAATGAGTCTGCTCGAAGCAGCCTGAACCCCGAAGCACGATCTCGGAGATATCTTTCTGATTTCTTCTACCGCCACCCCTCCAAGTATCAGCCTGGCGAGGACGATGACGTGAAGTGTGCATTGGTTGAGTGCCTCCGGCCGAGCTTGTTTTGGTAGCATCTTTTCTCCACGTAGTCGTATTGAAAGCAGCATACCACAAACAAGAGCAGCACGGGATTCAAGCAAGCTGAGAATGTTTCGATGTCGCAGTGTATCCTTCTGCACGGCATGTCAAGGGCCGTTGAACTGTGATGTAGCGGTTATATCCATAGGATCAGGTTCCTGATCTCCAAGCCGTCACACCCCAAGATCACAAACAAGACCCTCAGCCACAGGTACGTCCGTGGCATCAAGGCTCGAAAGTGGACCCTTCAGCTTGGCCAGACCTACGACGTGGGCCGCGCAGGCATGAACGGGGCCTCTCTGCCTCTGAGAGCTCCACCTTTAGAGGCTGTAGGGATGGGGTAGGGTTCGGGGTTTAGGTTTTGAGGA